GTTCAATTTCTTGCAACTAAGTGGACTTACTCGATTGCATTCCTGGCTTTGACTTTTCATCCACCCTGTATCTATACCCTTTCTCCCACATGACTTTGTAGTTCTTATCACCTCCAGTGTTTCTCTGCTATTTGTAAGGTTTTTGGTGACTAAATATTTGGAAATAGATTCTCACTGCTTCTTCCTAGTCTGTCTTCGTCTGGAAGCTCATCTGAAACCTGTCCACAATGGGTGACCCTGCTGGTATTTAAAATACCAATGGCATAGCTTCCAGAATCACAGCAACTCACAAGCCACCACAGTATGACAATCTGACAGATGAGTGGTAGGTGACCCAACAGAATGTGGAAATCATTGGAAAATATCTTTGATATCACATGTGAGTAAAGTTTTAATAAAGGTAATACAGAAATGGCTGCAAGCATACATTGACAGAAAACTTCCAGAGGTTCAAGCTGGATTCAGATGACGACATGGAACGAGGGATATTAATGCTTATGTCCAATAGATCTTGGCTGAAAGCAAAGACTATCAGAAAGATGTTTACTTGTGCTTTATTGACTACGCAAAGGCTTTCAATTGTGTGGATCATGACAAGCTATGTACAACATTGTGAAGTATGAATATTCCTGAACACTTAATTGTGATCATGAGGAACTCATATATAGACCAAGAGACAGTTGTTTGAACAGAACATGGGAACACGGAATGGTTTAAAATTAAGAAAGGTGTGCAACAGGGTTGCATTTTTCCACCATACTTCTTCAACTTGTATGCTGAGCAAATCATCTGAGAAACTTGGTTCTATGAAGAAAAACGTGGCATCAGGATTGGAGGAAGGCTCATTAACAACTTGCGATATGCAGATGATACAACCTTCCTTGCTGAAAGTGAAGAGGACTTAAAACATTTACTGATGACGATCAAAGAGCACAGACTTCAGTATGGATTACATCTCAATGTAAAGAAAACAAAAATCCTCACCACTGGACTAATAAACAACATTCTTATCAACGGAGAAAAGTTTGAAGTTGTCAAGGACTTCATTCTTCTTGGATCAACTATCAACACTCATGGAAGCAGCAGTCAAGAAAGTAAACAATGTATTACATGAGGCAAATTTTAAAGTGTTGAAGAGCAAAAATGTCAGCTTGAGGACTAAGGTGCACCTGACCCAAGTCATGGTATATTCAATAACCTCATATGCATGTGAAAACTGGGCAGTGAATAAGGAAGACTGTAGAAGAATTGATGCTTTTGATTTATAGTGTTGGAGGAGAATATTGAAAGTGCCATGAGCTGCCAAAAGAACCAACGCATCTGTGCTGGAAGAAGTGCAGCCAGAGTGCTCTTTGGAGGCCAGGATGGCCAAACTTCGTCTCTCATACTTCAGACATATTGTCAGGAGGGACCAGTCGCTGGAGAAGGATATTATTTGTGTTTGGTAAAGTGGAGGGTCAAAGAAAAAGAGGAAGACCTTCAGCAAGATGTATTGGCAAAGTGGCAGCATCACTGGGCTCAAGCATGGCAACAATAGTGAGGTTGGCCCAGGATAGGGCAGTGTTTCCTTCTGCTGTGACTAAGGTTGCTATGAGTCAGTATTGACTCGATGGCACCTAACAACAACAAATCACCTACAGTGAGATGGATTGGCAAAATGGCAGCATTAATGGGCTCAAGCGTGGCAACAATTGTGAGGTTGGCCCAGGTCCGGGCAGTGTTTCGTTCTGTTGTACATAGTATTGCTATGAGTCGGTACTGACCCGATGGAGCCAAACTCGATTTCTTCATCTCTTGAGTTTATCCATTTACTGTCAAGTCAACTTTCACTCATGGTGACCCCATGTGTGTCAGAGTAGAACGGTGCCCCACAGGAGTTTTTTCAAAGGCTGGTTTTTTAGAAATAGATTGTTCGGTTTTCCCTCTGAGGTCCCTCTGTGTGCATTCTAACTGCCCAACCTTTTGGTTAGCAGCCATGGGAATTAACCATTTGCATCACTTGGACTAATTTAGTGAAGCCTGTGTGAACCAAAACTCAACAGCACTGCCTTGTTTCTTTGGATCTTAGAAGTTTTTTGTTTTTGCTTTTTTGCCTTTGACAGGGTGCAATCTTACCCTTTTTTTTTAATCTCTCATTTTAGTCAGAACTATTTATGTTTTCCTTCTCTGACCAGAGTGTGCCTTACATAGGTTCCAGTGTTCTAAGGTTTTATTGTAGTTTGTGGCTGAAGAGACCCATAGCAGCTCCAAAGCTAGGCCCTCAAAAGGCCTTCCCCGTTTCCTCTTGCCCTCTTGCCTGAGAAGGGCATGCTCAAGCTAGCCCACTGGTCCCAGGGTGAAAGACACATGGAGCAGATTCAAGTCACCTCCTCGTCCCAGTGGAGGCCATCTTAGCTTAGCCAATTCCCAAATGTGTGAGCAAATCCAGCTGAGACCAGAAGAAGTGCCAAGTCAACCCCTGCCAAGCTGACTACACAAGATGTCTAAGTAATTCTTGTTGGGTGCCACTGTGCTCCTATGGTGGTTTGTTATATAGCATGACTACAGTGATAGGTCACAGATGTCCTTCCAGAGAAAACTGGGGCACGCCCAGCCTAAACTCTTTCCAGCTTTCCTGCTCCTGTGAACCCAGGCTTCACTAAATTGGTCAAAGTGATGCAAATGGTTAATTCCTGCAACCTTAGGACAAAAGATCTTCTCCTCACAACCACCTCTGCTATAAAATCGTCCTAAACCTGCTGGCTTTTGAAAGAGCTTTGCCTCTCACTTGGGAAATTCCATCGTACCCAGCTGTCTATGCTGAGCCTTCCCCTGCCTCTGCCGTCCTGGATCTATCAGGGTGTTAGCCCTCCATCTGCAGCTCACCCAGGAGGAGAGTGGTTCTGACTCCTCTTCAGTTTCAGCACACACTCCCAGGACCCTAGCCATGGGTCACTGCATTTGTCTCCTGATAACTCGCCTGGAAGAACAGCTCATCGACAACACAACTCTTCTGGCTTCAGCTCAGCTGAATACTTGGCTAAAATCACAATGAATTGTTTTGGCTGGAGACAATCTATTTAAAGGGTGTTGTAAAAGCAGCTCCTTTATATTTTGGGAAGTATTGTCTTCAGCAGTTTCCAAGGAAGAAGTCATAAAAGTGAGGCACTTCAGAGATGAAAGGACTCACCTTCTACCATGTGGCACTTCCCCCCCCCCCCCCCCCAATGACACTCATAAGGTGACAGGTGTGGGAGAGGATGAATTATGATGATTATTCCTGTTATTATTATTATTGCTCTTATTCTTCTGGCATGGAGGATCTTGGTCATCGAAGATTCCCAAGGGCAGGAAGTCGAAGGTTGAGGCACAAAGATGAACCCCTCTATTTATTTATTTGGAGTCCTGGTGTGGTGCTGTGGGTTAATGTGCTGGACTTTAATGTCAGTTTGAACCACAAGGTCCACAAGGTTGGTGGTTCAAGCTCACCAGCCACTCCTTAGAAACCCTATACAGGGTTGCTATGGGTGAGAAGAGACTCAATGACATTTAACAACAACACCACCTATCTATTTATTTTTTTATTTGAATGTTTTGTGTGCCTGAAAGCAGACTTTGCACAAAATCTATGCTCAAAAATCTATGCTGAATGAATGTTGTGTAAACAAGAGGAAAATGATGACTGGAACTCAAAGTCCTTAACAAGGACAACAATTTCTTGGATCTTATTTCACTCCTCTTAGGGGCAGTGTTCATCTCCCCTTTTCCTTAGTAACTCATGTCCCGGGGACCTGCCCAATAGCTCTGTCGAGGGTCACATGCAGGCACAGCAAAGGGGCACAGCTGGCACTTCAGAAGCAAGAAGCCTTACTTCTCTGGTTCTTGCCCAGGGCTTCCCCCTGCCAGCACCACCTTAGAACTGTCTTCCTGAGCAGAAATACTTATAAATGCAGATTGTTTGGGGTTCAGTTAGGGTTATGTCCTCTGCAAGAATCAGTAGTGCCTTCAAAGGACTGAATGAATGATGGGGAGGTCTAGCCTTTTCCTCCCCTTTAGTCAAGCGGATCCCAGATTTTCCTCCTTTCGTCAAATAAAAGTGACAGTGACCCACCTCAGCAACACAGGTGTCTTTTAATCTGCAATATCTGGAAAGCTTTATATTACCCACATTTACTGACAGAATCATCATCGCCCCAAACTGCCACCCAAGCTCCATATCCTACTTCAACTGACACAAAAACATCCCCAACTGGCACCAAAATGTCTTCCACAAAAAGTTTTTAGGAAAATGTGCAAATTCAGTGTTGCCCACCCAAACGTCCAAAAGTACACTGTGTGGACAGTCTGCAGCTATAAAAATATACACATACAAAAGTACAGCTACAAAATCATGGTGCCTATTTTCCTAGATTTACATTATAAAAAGGACCAAAGGTTAACTTTGTGGGGAACATTATGATCCTATATTTAGCCTTCTCCCCCATTATTTTCATGGAATAGTCAGAGTACATTGAACAGATGGTGAGGTGCTAAGAGGGTTAATCTGAACAATTCCTGGGCCAAGGAAGGAAATGCAAGTACCAAGGTCACACAGTCAGTGTGCTGTCAGTGAGAATGCCATGAGTCATGGAAGGCGAGGCGTACTTTAATACTGTTCTTTGGGTTTCTTTCTTTTTTTTTTTTTTTTATGTACTGTGAGTCACAACACAGCCATTGCACTACAGCAGACAGGCGCTGGAATTTGTGTTGTGTGATCTCTCACAGCCACTACACATTCAATGGATAAAATCCAATGCTTCCTATACAGTGTTGCATTTGCTTTGGTCCACAGAGTATCAGCAGAGAAGGCCACCCGGGGAATCCTGTCTTGATTCTCAGTCTGTCATCAAGGTGTACTTGCTCCTTGATGAGGAGAAACACACCTGATCCCAGTGCCTCTGTGTGTGACATCTGGCAGGGTCTCCAGGCTTCAGGGAGTCTCAGAAACGAAGGCTCTGTCCCTTGGGAGAGGCCAGCTGGTGTTACTTGGATCCACATGTGTTGATGTTTTTCCCATCCATGGCATCTTCCACAAGGGAAATGTGATAATCAGTGGACAGGGTGAAATGAGAAATGCAGCCCACCAGCCCTCTTGTGTATTGTCTGTTAGTGTGCAGAGCAATTTCCTTCATTCCACCTGCCAGGAAGCAAGAAGGCAATGGGGTGAGTCAATGGGGAGGTCTTCGGCAACAGAGGGTAGGGGTTCTCTTTATGGTAATTGAGTGCCTACTACTGAGGCACTCAATTGGCTCATAGGACAGTGAAGGCTGTGGGATGTGCTCAGGCTAACACATAGATCTATTTTATAATTATCTTTGAAAGAGAGGGTTGACATGGATTAATTTGATAAACAACTAGAGGACATGAGTACACACACCACACGTGACTTCTACATGACCAGAGACGTGAGTACACACACCGCACGTGACCGCTACACAACCAGAGACGTGAGTACACACACCACACGTGACCGCTACACAACCAGAGACATGAGTACACACACCACACGTGACGACCAGAAACGTGAGTACACATACCACACGTGACCGCTACACGACCAGAGACGTGAGTACACACACCACATGTGACCGCTACACAACCAGAGACATGAGAACACACACCGCACGTGACCACTACACAACCAGAAACGTGAGTATACACACTGCACATGACCACCACACGACCAGAGATGTGGGTACACATACCACACGTGACCGCTACACAACCAGAGACATGAGAACACACACCACACGTGACAGGCTACACAACCAGAGACGTGAGTACAAACACCACACGTGACCTCTGCACGACCAGAGATGTGAGTACACACACCGTACGTGACCCTACACGACCAGAGACATGTGTACACATACCACATGTGATCTCACGGCAAATATACCATCTTGAAACCAAATAGTATCTAGTAATTTTGCAATATTGTACAACATTAACACAATTACGGGAACAGGGAATAGTGGTAACTCTGAAACTAAAAGGAAACAGTGATATGTCAAAGGATGCCGAATGCTCTTTGTTAAATTCAGAAAACATCCTATGGCTTTTTTACAGAAATAGCTGCTCATTTTCATGTGCTCAAACTAATGGGTTATATGCCATTTACAGAAATACCACTCCCTTATAGTGCTATAAGATAAGCACGGGACTGCAAAGTCAGTATGAACTGCAAGGTCGGTGGTTCAAACCCACCAGATCCTCAGAAACTCTACAGGATCGCTATGAGTCAGTATCAACTTGATGGCCTTTAACAGTAACAAAAACATGTCTGAGAAGCTAGACAGATAGACTCTTCGTCCTCAGTTGGAGAGAATGCATGGAGCTATATTTAGAAGGTCCTGCTCTATAAAGAAAAAAGCCTGGTTTTCCTGGTAGATAGGTCCAATGTACAAATGAATCTAAGTGATTCCCTTCCTGTCTTTTGTCATGAGTCAGAAGTTCAGGGAGTGGAAAAATGGGATAGCCTGAGAGCTTCCTGATTTCCAGGAATTTGCCTGATCCCATGAAGTGTGCAGCTACAAGAAGGCCCAGAACTGTAAGAAGTGGACAGGGTGTAAAGGTCACTCACCCACATACAGGTCTCCATTGATGTTGAGCTGCCTCATTATGCCAGGTGACTTGCCTGTTCTGGCCCCATAGTCGTCCACAGTTATCTTTCCTGACTGGCCATCCCTGTAAAAATCACCACCAGTTTGTTTTTTTTTTTCATTTCAATACAAATGTATTCAAGTATCCACTAGGTCCCAGACACTGTGCTAAATGATGATGCTACAAAACCCAAACGATTGGTCTTAGACCTCAATGAGTTTCTCGTCTACTGAGAACAGCAAATCGAATTACTACTAATGGCATAATGGCACCACGCTATGGTGAAAGAAGGCCTAGGGTGCTTGCTTCTTTTAGCAGTGAAATGACAAAGAACCTAGACTGTGGAGAGGTGGTTATTGGGGGGACAACTCTAAAAGGTGAGTTTTGAAGATTAGGTAAATCAGGTGAAGGAAGAGGGGAAGGCTGATGCAAGAAACCAAAGTAGGAATCAAGAAAGAAAAAACAAATATAATGAACATAGCAAATAATGGAGGGTAACGATTAAGCCAAAAGCAGCTAGCAAAGAATATCACAGCGGTTTAGCATATATTCTGAAGGTAAGCAGAGGAGTTTCAAGAGCTTTAAGACAGAGCCCAGGGGAAGAAGAGTGGGGGTGACAAGGTGAGATTTATTTTTTTAAATAGTCAATTGGTTTTATTTTTGTTGCTGTTGCTGAGGATATACAAAACAGAGCACACACCAATTCAACAATTTCTATATGCTTAACTCAGTAACACCATTAGCCATTTTCACCCCACTTTTCCAAGTTGTTCCCATAACCATAAATCCACTGCCCTCTACACGTCCCATCTACCTTTCTAAGTTGCTGTTGTCAATTTGACTCACACAGATAGATCTGAAAAGAGAACATGCTCAAGGCATTCTTCACCAGTCAACTTACACAACGGTTTGGTTTTAAGAAGACTTCACGGGATACTATTTTCTTTTAAAGAGTATCAGTCGAACTGTTGTCTGGAGAGTGGATTCTGGATGGGAGGGTGGGAGACCCGAAGACAGAGACAGCATCTGAGAAGATGATGAGGTCAAGTGGGAGGCAGTGGAGATGCACACTCAGTAGGAAGTGGCGAGCTGCCCTGACCCTGGTGAGTCTTGTATTTTCCAAGACTCACTCATGAGCTCACCCACCAAATTACCCAGAAACCAAACCAAACCAGCTGCTGTTGGGTCAATTCCAACCTATGGTGATACCATGTGTTTCAAAGTAGCAATGCACTCCATAGGCTCTTTTAGGAAGTAGACCATCGGGTTGCTTTTTGTCCCTTCCAAAACACCTCTGAGTGGATTTGAACTGCCAACCTTTTAGTTAGTAATCAACCACTTGATGATCTGTATCACCCAGGGACTCCTACCCAGAAAAGGTGATTAAAAATTCTCAGGGATTCTAACTCACACTCTATTCAGCTTGCCTTCCCTTGGAATTTTCATTTAACAGTACAAGTATTAACCACAAGTATTAACCGTTCCTTAAGTTTGGACTTGCTCCAGTTTCTCAAAATTGTCTAGGAATATGTACATAATAATAACACTATAAGAGACTCTGAAACTTGCTCTTGAACATAGAGAAGCCAAAGTGGCTGGAAGAAATGATGAAGTAAAAGAGCTTAACAGTAAATTTCAAAGGGCAGCTCAAGAAAACAGTATGCTGAACTTTGAAAAGACCTGGAGTTAGAAAACCAAAAGGGAAGAACATGTTCAGTATTTCTCAAGCTGAATGAAATGAAGAAAAAAATCAAGGCCTTGGGTTGCAACATTGAAGGATTCTATGGGCAAAATATTGAATGGCACTGGAAACATGAAAAGAAGATGGAAGAAATGTACCCAAAAGAATTGGTGGATAAGAAAGGATGATATTGACAGACATTCATCTGTCATCCATGGTGGCACTGGTGACAAATAAGGCTCCAGGAATTGACAAAATATAAACAACTATTTCAACAAACTGATGCAGGACTTGAGGTACTCACTCATCTATATCAAGAAATATGGAAGACAGCTACCTGGCCAATCAATCGGAAGTTTTGTGCCCATCCCAAAGAAAGGTAATCCAATGGAATGTGAAAATCATTGAACAATAGCATTAATATCATATGCAAGAAAAATTTTGCTGAAGATAATCCAAAAACAGTTGCAGCAGATATCGGTAGAGAGCTGCTGGCAATTCAAGCAGGATTCAGAAGAGGATATGGAATGAAATATATCATTGATGATATCGGATGGGTCTTGGCTGAAAGCAGAGACTATCAGAAAGATGTTTACTTGTGCTTCATTGACTATGCCAAGACTTTGAATAGCAAAATGCCCTGGATGACCTAGGATAACAGTCAAGGGTAGTGTTTGGAAGTTGAACTAAAAGAGAGTTAGACACCCAAATCCCCTTTGATTAGATACCATTCTGTCTCATACTCACCTAACAGCCTTGACTCGGTGCCACCGACCATCGCTGAAGGAGCCGTTCACCATGATGGATGCCACACCACTGCCCAGGTTATAGCTGATGACATCAGAGAGTAACAACACAGAGAAGTGATTAAAACAGAGGAGTAGAGAGAGACACCCATTCACAAATGATTCTCATTACAAAAGTGTTTTTCAGCATGCAGAATACAGTTTTCTTACGGGAAAGCAAGGCGATGTCATAAAAGGTGGTATATTCCCAGGCTATCCCATAATGATTCTTTTAAAGCCCCATATAATGGAATAGTATGAGAAAAAACAGGAGGGATTTATCATTTGTAATGTGTTTTCCAGATTATTTTAACATAGCACTGTGGAGTAGGCTGAGCACCAAGGAGCTTTAAGGGAATTTGCCTATAATCCCAAAGCAAATGTGTAGTAGAACTCTGATATGAGGTCCAGTAGATTCTATTTTCTATTTCAGTTCCAGATACCCTGGTATTCAAAAGATATCAGAGGACATGAACATGCTCGTTACCAGAGAGAAATATCCCTCTAATCCAGTGTTCATTCGATTATCCTAATTTAATTCAATTCAACAAATATTTATTGAGTGACTGCTCTGTACCAGGCACTGAGCCAACTTCCTAACCCTCTCTTGATAATATAATAAAGTCTGTATAATTGTGTTGTGGGAGGAAAATGTGTTCCAACTAGGGACAAGTCTCCTAATCTAGTAAAAGGAGGTGTCACTCCTTTACCTCACTGCCCAGGAAATAAGAATGCCAAAAGGAAAACTAGACTAGTCATTGAGCGTTCTGAGGAAAGAGCGAAAATAAAAAGCTTTGGCTTTTCCCAGGGAAAAGAACCATGATTTTTCTTCTTGAATAATGGGGACTTCAAAAAGTCACACAGCTTGTTAACATCCAAGCCAAGAATAGAATTTGGGTGACTTGACAAAACCATGGGACAAAGCTGCCACTCTGACCCTGAGAAATCCACTGTTTTTTAATGAATTTTCCCACATCAATTGTCTTCTTGTGCGGAGTAGCCTGGAAGCAGAATTTTCAGATTTCATTATTTGGTGGCTGAATGCTTGTTGAAGATATGAATTACTGAGTATAAGGCAAGGCTGAGGTTCCATTCCATGAAATGACGAAACGGCGTTCATGAGAGGCAGCATGGGGTGGAGAAAGAACATGGACACTCAGACTCCCCCGACCTGACTAGATTCCCAGGCAAGTCAACTTAATAGCTCTGTGAACTCGGAAAACTTACTTCATCTGAGTCTAAATTTTCTCATCTGTAAAACGGAGGTAGTATCTTTCTTGAAAATCGTAGGGAATGTGAACTGGAGTAATGTCTGTACAGATTTGGCACGTAAAACCAACCCCACTGCTGTGGATTCTATTCCGATTCATGAAGACCCTTATAGCAGACTGTTAGAGAGCAGAACTGCTCTGTAAGGTTTGCTCGGCTCGAGTCTTTTCAGAAGCAGACCCCTAGGCTGTTGTTCCACAGTGTTGCTGAGTGAGCCTCAACTGCCAACCTGTAAGTGAGTAGCTGATTGCAAACCATTTTCATTACCAGGATCCACGGCACATACTAGGAGCCAAACACCTTACACCCTCCTCGCCAACATACGCGGTACCTAGTGCAGCAGGTATACGGTTGACTATGTGTCCTGAGGAATGAGCAGGAAGGAGAAAGTTTATCATCAACAGTTAACTCGTTAAACCGCCACGGGAAGAGTAGTCATGTGTGAGAGGTAAGCCAGCGGGCTGTAAATATGTAACTACAGGGGTCAGGAACACCAGGTCCCAGGATCAGGGTGACTGGAATGTGATCTTGGGGTGGTTTTTGGAGCCTGATTGTAAGCCAGTGAAGGGAAACCCTTTAAATTGTTCTAGGTCCTGGCCACACAAAGGACAGGTGTTCCTGTTCTGTTCTCTAGATGGATAACTCTAAGTTCAGGCCAGTGTTCCTGCATCTGTTTAAGAGACTTACACTGAGTGTTTCAACACTTTATGAAAATTCCAAACACTAAACCAGGTACCAGTGAGGCAACACAGCTTCATGAGACCCCATATGTAGCAGAATAGAAGTGGCTAGTTTTTCATAAGTGGATCACCTGGCCACTTTCTTTCAAGACACCTCTGGGTGGACTTGGTCAGCATTTCTCAAACTGAAAGGACTGAAGAAAAACTTAAACCTGAAGTGAAAATACTGAAGGATTCTTCAGGCCAAATACAGAATGATGCAGGAAGCATCAAAGAATTGGGTGACATTCAACCATTTGAGGAGGTAGCATATGATCAAGAACTGATGGTATTTAAGGAAGAAGTTCAAGTTGTACTGAAAGCATTAGTGAAAAACAAGGTTCCAGGAATTGATGGAATACAAACTGAAATCTTTTAGCAAACTTATGTAGCACTGTGAGCGCTCATTCATCGATGTCAAGAAATTTGGAAGACAAGTTATCTGCCCAACTTACTGAAAGAGATTGATCTTTGTGCCCGTTCCAAAGAAAGGCAATCCAACAGAAGGTGGAAATTATCAAACAATATCATTAATATCGGAGTCCTGGTGTGGCACTGTGGGTTAATGTGCCAGACTGCAAAGCCATTTGAACTGCCAAGTCAGCAGTTCAAGCTCACCAGTTGCTCCTCGGAAATCCTATACAGGGTTGTTATGGGTCGGAACCGACTCTATGGCACTTTAACAACAACAACATCATTAATATCACACACAAGTAAAATTTTACTGAAGTTAATTTTAAAAGCTGCAGCAGTACAGCGTTAGGGAGCTGCCAACAATTCACTCCAGCTTCGGAAAAGGCTGTGGAATGAGGGCTATCACTGATGATGTCAGATGGATCTTGGCTGAAAGCAGAGAGTACCTGAAGCACTTGCTGGTGATGATCAAAGTATGAATTATAGATCACTGTGATGAAAACACCACTGGACCAATAAACATCTTGATAAATGCAGAAAAGACTGAAATAGTCAAGGATTTCATTTTACTTGGATGTAAAATAAAAATTCATGGAAGGAAGAAGCATTCAAGAAATCAAATGATGAGTTGCACTGGGCAAACGTATAGATGATCTCTTTAAAGCGTTCAAGAGCAAAGATGTTAGTTTGAGGACTAAGGTGTTGCTGACCCAAGTCATGGTATTTTCAATCACCTCATATTTATGTGAAAGCTACACAATGAATAAGGAAGACAACAGAAGAACTGATGCATTTGAATAATGGTTATGGCCAAGAATATTGAAAGTACTATGAACTGCTAGATGAACAAACAAGTCTGTTTGAGAAGAAGTACACTCAGAATGTTCCTTAGAAGAGAGAACGGTGAGATTTTGTCTCGAGTACTTTAGACATGTAACCAGGAAAAAGGACATCATGTTTGGTAAAGTAGAGGGTCAGTGAAAAAGGGGAAGATTCTCAGTGAGCTGGATGAACAAAGCGACAGCAACAATGGGCTCACATGTAGGAAATATTGTAAGGGTGGCGCAGGGCTGGGCGTGTTCCGTTCTGCTGTACATAGTCTCTATGAGTTGGAACTGATTGTTGTTGTTAGGTGTCATCGAGTTGGTACTGACTCATAGCGACCTTATGCACAGCAGAACGAAACACTGCCCAATCTTGGGCCAACCTCACTACTTTGCCACGCTTGAGTTCATCGATGCTGCCAATTGGCCAATCCATTTCATTGGGGGTCTTTTTTTCTCTGACCTTCCACCTTACCAAGCATGCTATCCTTCTCCAGCGACTGGTCCCTCCTGATAATATGACCGAAGTATGAGAGACGAAGTTTGACCATGCTGGCCTTCAAGGAGCACTCTGGCTGCACTTCTTCTAACTGATTAAATGACACATTACAACATCAATAATCCTCACAACCAACTTTTCCCTCTACAGATGAGGCAAAGGTGGTTCCGAGGGTTTACGTAATTTCAAAGGCACTGCACAGCCACAGGGATCTGGCATGCTTGGCTCCAAAGCCCACGCTCTTCACTTTCAGACCCTGCTTCTCAAGGCCTGGTTTCTGGAATCATGGTCCAGAGACACCTGTGGACTCTATTCCATTCAGATTCTGACCTCCCCAAGACCTCTGGGGTGGGCTCAGAAATCTCTCTTTCCTCTAGCTCTCTAGGTGACATGGCTAGTGGTTCACACCACCAGCCTCACCATGCCCTGCCTACGACAGTCCTCTCCCATCTGTCCTGGGTTAATAAACCAAACACCAAACCTATGGTCTTAGGGTCCATTCTGACTCACAGCAACCTTGTATAGATCTTCCCAGGCTATAAATCTTCACAGGCGCAGAGGGTCTCATGTGTCTCCCTAAGAGAGTCTGGTGAGTTTGAACCAGCAACCCTGCAGTTAGAAGCCCATAGCTTATTCCCCAGTATCACCAGTGCTCCTTTTTGAGTGAATGGATATGGGGAAGTCACATCCAGAATGAAGGAAAACAGCCGAAATCCTGGGGCTGCAGGCCTGGAAGCAGGGCAGATGTCTGCCTCAGCCTGAGCAAAGCTGTAGATCTTTTACAAGCAGAATGCCAGGCTTTAAAGAAAAACACAGGGCCAATTTTCAGAAACCTGAGAAAGTAATGGTAACATAAGAAAAAAACTGGATACAGCAGAGCTGTGAGAAACGCGCCAAGGGGGTGGGTAAAGGGGAGGGGGCTCACGGGGGGCCCCGGGTGAGTTTCAGGGTGGGCCTGAGCAGATGGAATTCACCCTCCTGGCTGGAAAGGGATGGTGATTAGGTTTTAGCTGGCGGTGCTGGAGTCTGGGAGAGGGTGGGAGGCTGACTCCCACCATGGCTGAATTACCGTTTCAGTTCCCCTTTCTGGGCACACTTGAGGCGTTTGCGAGGTGAACCACAGGAAAACCACAAGAAAATGGCTTCGGCAGCCAGCCCAAAAGCAGTGTGTGGGGAGCTCTGTGGTGGATGTGTGGGCCAATAGGGGAAGAGGACAAACCTGGCCAGAAGATGCCTTTCACCTGCCAGCTTCTGACCTGCAGCCCCAGATGTTTCTCAAAAATCTCCAGTGTTAAACAAGCTCATCACTTAGAGCATGCTGAAATTCAGAGGCAAGCTTGAGGTCAGGAAAGTGGCATTTCTTCTCAAAATGCCTTTTATTCAATGTTTCTGGTTGTGGGAGTCCCAGGTAGCGCATATAGTTAAGTACTCAAATATTAGCTGCAAGTTTTGATGTTTGAACCCATTCAGAGGCGGCCTTACAAGACAGGCCCAGTGATCTATTTCTAAAAGTTCACAGTCTTTAAAATCCTGTGTTTTTATTAAGTGCCTGCGAGTTGGTTCCGAATCATAGCCATCTGAGGTTTTAAAAATCTTTGCAGGAGGAGAAAGTCTTATCTTTCTCCTGCCGAGTCACTGGCGGGCTTGAACCACAGACTTCGTGGTCTGAAGTCCAAAGCTTATCGCATGGAGCCACCCTATGGAGTTCTGAACTTATTCTGAACACATGAAGCTGTCAGAAACTAACAACAGCAAGACTAACTCTGGCTGTCAATAACTTGGGTTAATAAACTCACTGACAGATGCCCCAGAACTAAGTCTTCATCCTTTTCCATTCATCTGTTCTCTTTCTCCTTTGTCCATTTCAATTCAAATGAATTCCTATCTCTTAGTGAACACCTGTGCTCATAACCATAAGAAAACAAAAACAAAAAGGCGTTTTCTTCGAGGCAATGCTGATTCACGTTGACTGCATGTGTGTCCCATTAGCACTGTGCTCTGTAAGGTTTTCAATGGCCTGACCTCTCAGAAACAGGTCGCCAGGACTGCTTTCTGACGTGCCTCTGGGTGCACTCAATCCATTTGTGCCATTTAGGGACTCTGCTACTCACCATAAGGAGCTTTGGTAGCATAGTGGTTATGAATCGGGCTGCAAACCACAAGGTTAGCAGTTCGAAACTACCAGCTGCTCTGCGGGAGAAAGATGAGGCTTTCTGCTCCTGTAAAGATTTATAGCCTCGGAAACACTGTTCAGGGTCACTATGAGTCGGAACTGACTCCACGGCACACAGCCAGCCAGCTACTCACCATACCAAACAAAACGCACTGCTCCAACTCACTCCAGTGGGGAGAAGGATGGAAAGATGTCCAGGTAATTCACGACTGCATCCCACCCATTTCAGAAAATCAAGACGAGCCTAAGTTTACTTAAAAGATGTGAAAACTACCAGGACCAGACAAGAAGCATTTATTATAAAAATCCTAATGTTGGGTAGAGCCCCTGTAACATAATGAGTTACACGTTGGCACAGGCACAAGGTTAGTGGTTCAAATCCACCAGTGGTTCTGTAGGAGAAAGATGAGGCTTTCTTCTCCCATAAAGATCTACAGTTTCTCAACTGACTTGATGGCACTTATCAGTAACAACAACATCTATTGAGATAACAATCGGCTTTGTTTTTCTTTGCAGCCGAAAGCGCCTCCTCAAGATTGCATAATGAACACCGAGCAAAGTCAGACTTTAAAGCCGGGTCTTCTGACATTTAGATCTTCAGGGAAAGCTTCCTGGGCTGGTAGTTTTTGAACTGAGTAAGGTGAACAGGGCGTCTCTGGGTGCTGCAAATGGTTAAGCATTTGACTACCAACCAAACGGTTGGTGGGTCAAACCTCCAGAAGCACCTCAGAATTGAGGCCTAGCTAACTGCTTCCTAAGGAGTCCTGGTGTGGCGCTGTGGGTTAATGTGCTGGACTGCACAGTCAGTTTGAAACAAAAGGTCAGCAGTTTAACCTCACCAGCCTATCCTCAGAAACCCTACGCAGTGTCACTATGGGTCAGAACTGACTCAATGGCACTGAACAACAACAACAACAAACTGATTCCTAAAGGTCACGGTCTTGGAAACCCTGTGGAGTAGAGTTCTACTCTGTGACATGGATTTTCTTGAGTTCGAACTAACTCAACGATAATGGTTTGGTTTGGGATCAATGGCTTCCATCCTTATCACTCTTTTTACCACTTTCTAATTAGCAAGTTGGGAGCATAGGTCAGTAAAACACTAGAATAGGGGTCACAATATTTTTACATAAAGGGCAGATATGAACTCTAAACTTTGTAGGCCATATGGTCTCTGTTGTGGCATTGTAGTACGAAAGCAGCCACAGACAATACATAAATGAGTATGACTGCATACCAATAAAACTTTATTTATAGCTTGTTGCTTGCTTGTTAAGTGCTGTCAAGTTGGTTCTGATCCATAGTGACCCTGTATAAGGTTTCTGAGGAGTGGCTGGTGAACTTGAACCACCCACCAGCACATTAACCCGCATAGAGGCTATAGTTTGCAGACCTCTATGCTGGAAAGACAGACCAGAGGCACCAAACAAACACAGAGCTTCGTGAATAGTCAATCTTGACCAACTCTGTTTGTGATCACTTTGAAGCCACTGTAGCAAAATGGGTTTCTCTTATATATAACCTTCTAGCCTTCACTTTATCATTCTGCTAAAAATGATTGGTTGGACTGTAGCCTGCCTTGTGATTGGTCTATTTTATGCAGGGATTGGTTAATTTATTATGCAAATACCCATTGCCATCAGGCTGATTCCAACTCATAGCAAACTAGTTTCCAAGGCTATACATTTTTATGGAAGCAGAAAGCCTTATCTTTCTCCCATGGAGAAGCTAGTAGGTTTGAACTTCCAACCTTCTGTTAGCAGTCTAGTGCTTATCCTACAGTGCTACCAGGACTCCTTATTATGCTAATGACCAGATCAGACCCACTGTCAGTGAGTCAATTCCAACACATAGTGACCCTGCCTAGGGTTTCTGAGGCTGTAAGAATCTTAACAAGAGCATAAAGCCTCAACCTCCTTCTGAGGAGTGGCTGTGGGGTTTGAACTGCCACCCTTGTGGTTAACAGTCCAGCGCTTATCCTACAGTACCATTGTACCCAACTGGTTTGACTGATGTACAGACCAGCTTGGGGATAGGTCGGTTTTGCCATCTAGACTGATATAAGGGCCAATCAGAAAGAGCTTGATGGAGGATTCACGCTCTTTAGGAAGAGAATGGAATGGTCCACATCCTTTGGGCCCAGGGTCCCTGTGCCGAGAACCTTCTATACTCAGAAGAGACAGCTGTAACTCTAAAAATGATGTGAGATGACAAGAAATGACCACAAATGGCAGCAAGCATGAAAGAGCCCAGTAGCAAAGAAATGGCAACAGCTGTATGGACGGTGAGAGCCAGGAGACGAGCACAAGATGGCGCAGTGGGCTTGCTGGCTGGCTGGACCAATGGGAGAGCACTATTGAGTCAGAGGTTTACTGGCAGAATGGGGTCTTGTCAGCAGAGCCAAAAGAGCTGTAACACTTGCTCAAGCAGGTCAGAGTCCTAGAGGGGCCTAGCAGCAGCGGTCTAGAGGGGCTGAGCTGGCGTGGCTGAGAAGATTCCAAGAAGATGCTGAGGAGTCTCTTGGTTGGAAGCTGTCCTGGTGAAAGAACTATAGCCTGTCTTCTGAGTTGTATTTTGTTACTTCCAAGTTGATCCTGATCCCAACCTGCAGTCTGTTACTTCCCTATGTAACTGCAATAAATTATTCAACCCAACAGAGAAGTAGAGTGTGCTATGGTGGCGCTGGTGGTAGTGGTGGTGGTGGGGATACCTGGTGTTAGAAAAGCTGACAAAGTTGAGAGTGAAAAAGTTGGGGAGTGGAGGTATGTCTGATGTCCACCTCACAGAAGCCAGCTTTGCGCGGATCCTTCTACATCTGAGTGAGTTCAAACACTAGATTGTAGACACTGTTTGGCATGGTTGGCACTATCTGAGAACAACTGTGGGTGATGCTGAAGGCAGCTGGTGATGGGATTACCTGAGCACAAGGGCTCCATCACGAAGGCCCAGAGAAATGAAGTCACTGTTGGGTCTCATAGGACTGTCTCCCCTCCACATCAGCAGGCCATTCTTGGCAGTTGTCTTAAACCTCATGAAAGCATTTGATCTTGATCCTGATACCCTGGAGGAAAATGCACAAAGAATTCCACCTAATTAACCAGTCTCCAACAACATCTGTAGGTCCCAATGTTTAGGCCAGCCATGAGCAACCGGGTGGAAGGATAATTTGGCATTTGGACACTTACTGTTAGATTAGAAATGACATCACCACCCTGTAACCCACCCCAGGTCTAGAAGCCAGGCTTGTCCTCCCTGAATATGGTGACACCTCACACGAGGGCACTTGCTTTGACATGGTGGTAACTACATAGTCCCAGGTTGCAGCGTCCTCACACAACTCAGTCTTTTTCCTTTCCTGCCCTATTTATCACTCAGAGGTCCCTTGGAAAACTTCTCCCCACTTCCTAGCAGAAAGTAGATTTCCTAATGACCAAGAGGTTCAACATAGCAGCTGCTCTGAGTTATCAACGTGGTTGTGGTCAACTCTGACTGTGACTGCCCTTGGAGCCAGTGACTAGAGAAGAGGCAGCGCCTCAGACAAAGAAGGTTATTTGATCCGATAATGGTTTTGAGGTAGGTTCGGAGGAAACAGGGCTGCTCAGTGAGGTGAGACCCCAAGCTAGAAATAGGATCACATGCATATACGCTTTTGGCCATTTTATTCAGAAATTGATTCTCATTAAAGTTATCAGCCACCACTCAATTGTAAGTCAGTTGTACTGTGGTGGCTTACATGCTGCTGTGATTCTGGAAGCTATGCCACCACTATTTTAAATACCAGCAGGGTCATCCATGGTGGACAGGTTTCAGATGAGCTTCCAGACCAGGACAGACAATGAAGAAAGAGAGGTTGACTACTATGAAAGGTTAGCCATTGGAAACCTTAAGAAAAAATGTGCAACACTGTCAGCACCCAAATATTGAATATTGAGACTTTAGGAATAGCACCTGAATATTGTCAGATATAGTACTAGGAGATGAGCCTGTAAGGTTGGCAGCCACTTGAAATACGACTGGGGGAGAGCTGCCTCCTCAAAATAGAGTTGATCGTGATCGTGTGAATGGAATAAAGCTTTCAGGTCCTTCATTTGCTAATGGGACACAACTCAAAATGAGGGGAAACACCTGCAAACATCCATTAATAACTGGAACATGGAATGTATGAAGTATGAATCTAGGAAAATTGTAACTTGTCAAAAATGAAATGGAATGCATAAATATTGATATCTTAGGCATTACTGAACTGCAGTGGACTGGTATTGGCCATTCTGAATCGGACAGTCACATAGTTTACTATGTCAGGAATAACAAATTGAAGAGAAATGTTTTTGCAATCATCAAAAAGAATATTTCAAGATCTATCTTGAAGTATAATGCTCCCTGTGATAGGATAATAATATCCATATGCCTACAAGGAAGATCACTTAATAGTACAAATTTATGCACCAATCACTAAAGCCAATGATGATGAAATTGAAGAATTCAGTTTGAAATTTATCAAACATGTAATCAAGATGTATTGATAATTGCTGGTGATTAGAATGTAAAGGTTGGAAACAAACAGTAAGAAAAGTCATTCTGTCTAGCCATGATGACAGAAACAATGCTAGACATCACATGATAGAATTTGGCATCACCAATGACTCATTCATACGACCTTGAATATATCCCACCTGAACTTAGAGACCATCTGAAGAACAGATTTGATGCATTAGACACTAAATCTCAAATATTAGAAGAGTTGTGGGATGATATCAAGAACATCATACAAGAAGAAAGCAAAAGGACATTAAGAAGACAAGAAAGAAGAAAAAGACCAGAATGAATGTCAAAAGAGACTCTGAAACTTGCTCTCCAGTGCAGAGATGCTAAATCAAATGGAAGAAATGAGGTGGTAAGAGAGCTAAACAGAAAATTTCAAAGGGCAGCTCAAAATACAAATTCAAGTATTTTAATAAAATGTGCTAAGACCGGAAGTTGGAAAACAAATAGGGAAGAACATGATCAGCATTTCTCAAGCAGAAAGAACTGAAGAATTTGCAATATTTAAGGACTTCACAGGTAAAATGCTGAATGATGCTGAAGGCATCCAAAGAGGATGGAAGGAATACACAGAGTCACTATGCTAAAAGAAATGACTGGTATTCAACCATTTCAAGAGGTAGTATATTATCACGAGCCAGTAGTACTGAATGAAGAAGCCTAAGGTGAGCTGAAGGCATTGGCAAAGAACAAGGCTCCAGGAATTGACGGAATACAAATTGATACAGTATTGGAGGTACTCATTCATCTATGCCAATAGATTTGGAAGACAGCTACCAAACTGATCATTTCAAGGAGAAGTGACCCAATGGAATGTGGTAGTCATTAGACTAAAATCATTAATATCACATGCAAGTAAAGCTTTGCTAAAGAAATTTCAAAACTGGCTCCAACCACTGACAGGGAAATGCCAGAGGTTCAAGCTGGAATCAGATGAGGATGTAGAATGAGGGATATCATTGCTGACGTAAGATGGATCTTGATTGAAAGCAGAGAATACCAGAAAGATGGTTGCTTGTGTTTTATTAACTATGCAAAAACTTCAACTGTGTGGATCGTGACAAACTATGTATGGATAACATTGTGAAGAATGAGTATTCCAGAACACTTAACACTGATCATGAGGAACCTGTACCTAGACCAAGAGGGAGTTGTAGAAGCAGAACAAGGATACATTGAATGGTTTAAAATCAGGAAGGTGTACACCAGGATTGTTTTCTTTCACCATACTTATTCAATCTGTATGGTGAGTAAACAATCCAAGAAACTGGATTATAGACGAAGACCATGGCATCAGGATTGGAGACTCATTAAGAACCTGTGACATACAGCTAATCCAACCTTGATTGCTAAAAATGAAAAGGACTTAAAATATTTACTGATGAAAATCAAAGACCACTGCCTTCAGAATGGGTTGAACCTCAATGTAATGAAAACAAAAAAAATCTTCACCACGGGACCAATAAATAACATCATGACAAATGGGGAAAAGACTGAAGCTTTCAAAAACCTTTTGCTTGGATCACTATCAACACTCATGGAAGCAGCAGTCAAGAAATCAAATGACACATTGCATTATGCAAATCTGCTGCACAATACCTCTTTAAAATGTTCAAGAGCGAAGATTTCAGTTTGAGAACTAAGGCGTGCCTGATCCAAGCCTGGTATTTTCAGTAGCCTGATATGCATGTGAAAGTTGGACAATGAATAAGGAAGACTATAGAAGAATTGATGAATTTGAGTTATGATGTTGGAGAATGTTAAAAGTACTATGAACTTCCAGAAGAACAAACAAGTCTGTGTTGGATGAAGTACAACCAGAATGTTCCTTAGAAGCCAGGATGGAGTGGCTTTGTCTGTCATATTTTAGACATCTTATCAGAAGGAGCTCTGGTAGCGTAGTGGTTACGAATCAGGCTGCGAACCTCAGGGTCAGCAGTTCGAAACTACCAGCTGTTCCGCGGGAGAAAGATGAGGCGTTCTGCTCCCATAAAGATTTACAGCTTCGGAAACCCTATGAGTCGGATCTGACTCCACGGCACAACAACAACAACAACATCAGGAGGGGCCAGTCTCTGGAGAAGGACATCATGCTAGGTAAAGTTGAAGGTCAGTGAGAAAGAGGAAGACCCCCAATGAGATGGACTGGCTCAGTGGCAGCAGCACAACAGTCAAGCTTAACAATGCTTGTGAGGATGGCACAGAACTGGTCAGTGTTTCGGTCTGTTATACACAGGGTAGCTATGAGTCAGACCCAACTAAACAGCACCTGACAACAGCAACAACAACAACAACCAAGTCATCAGATTGACAGAAGTAGGAAAGCAAGTTCAAAGTCCTTTTATCAAAGTGGAGGAAACTAAAAACCACACTCAGGGTCATGGAGTGCATTCTGAGTCTTAGAGACGCCTGTAGAACGTCTTGATAGGGTTCCGAAGGCTGTAAATCTTTACAGAAGCAGACTGCCATGTAGCACATGGTGGGTTTGAATCACCAACCTTCCTTTTACCACTCAAAAGCTTATCTACTGTGCCATGGGGGCTTCTTACATTGAGGAAGGACTAAGCCTCATTTAATATTTCTAAGAATATGACACTATTGGGAAGGTTTCTTTTTCTATTGTCCTATCTCTCTTACCATCCTTCTGGTTTTCCCACATACCCGGGCCTGGGGCTGCACAGTGCATTCACTCATGAACAGTGAAGGGGACTTAGCCCAGGCTTCCCATAGTCTGGTCTAGGCAGGAAGAGACCAAGTTTGCCTTCCCTAGGCAAGGCTTCGGAGTGGTGACAGGGGACCAGGGTCCGTGATGGTGACTTCTCCCCACCAGCTCTACAGGGCTAGATGTAGAACACCTAACCCTGGTCCATTCCCAGACACCTGCTTTACCCAATCTCCTGTTCCAAGTCTCTTTGCTCTCCTACTTGCCTTAGGAATATTGATTGTTATAAGTCAATCATGGTGGTTCGATTTCTCTTGCTACTGATTGATGGATATGTGACCCACTATTGTCCAATGAGAAGAGGAATTTTACTAGCACGATTCTCAGGGAGCTTTCTTCTTTTTTAAAAGAATCACATGAAAACAAAAGTCCTTTTTTTTTTTTTTTCCTTCCACTGGTTATTGTCCTGCTTATAGCCATCTTTGTTCCACATGGTGCAAACGGTTAAGTGGCCAGCTACACAGTGAAAGTTTGGTGGTTCAAATCTACCCAGGATGTGTTGGCAGAAAGACTGGCAATCTACTATTGAAGGATTACAACCATTGACAACTCTGTTCCAACATTGGAACTGACCCAACAGACGCTTTTAAAAAAATACCTGTCTTATAACCATGAGTGTGGTCTCAGAAGAATATGCTCAGGATGACAAGAAGGAATATGGGAGAGACCTGGGTCTTTGATGATTTAGCTGATGGTCTGAATTAATCAGCCCAGGATCCAGTCTAACTCTGGACTCTTAACTATATAAAATAACAACTATTCTTCATGTTTAAGGCCTTTTGAATTGAGTTTTCTGC